TTCGGCAAATGTTCGGCTGCGCCAGCATGATGTCTAAAAATGTTTAAAACATTTTGATGTGGACGGGAGGTTTGGCTATGGTTGGCTGGTCGTTGGCTAGTGTTCGGGAGTAGGTCTTGGCGTGGTTGGCAGTTAAATCTTAAATTCGATGCGATTCGTATATGGAAAGGTAGGCTTGGCCCAAATCTTGTCAGACTACCCCCGAACCCCTACCTTCTTGATTGGTTGGTGTTGGGGTGAAAATGTGGAACGTTTGATGGAGGATGAAATTCTTTCTGTTCATATGTTTATATCTAACCAGATACGACTGAAAGTAACATGAATCTGTAACTAAACAGACTCGTCTACCGTGTATTTTGCCCCCTCTTTAATTGGCTGACTGGTTTCTCTAAAGTAATAGTTGTTACTTTTGGTTTCCTCACACTCAATGAAAAAAACTTTGAACTTCTTGGTAGAACTATGCCAGGGGTGCCAGAGCATACAGTGTAATTTTGCGGAATACAGTGCAATTTTACTAGTATAAACTGCACTGTATACTAATACGATTGCACTGTATTCCGTAAAATTGCACTGTTTACTAATACGATTGTACTATATTCCGTAAATTTGCACTGTATACTATCAAAATTGCACTGTACATGTAACATTGCACTGTATTCCGTAAAATTGTACTGTATACTAGTAAAATTGCACTGTATTCCGTAAAATTGTACTGTATACTCTGGCACCTCTGTATGTTTGACTAGATATGTAGATAGAGATTCTGCATTTGTGTTACCTTTCTAAGATTCCACTTGTATTCATCGAGTGTTCCCTTCTTTTGTTGCAGGTTTCCCTACCAATGCCTCCTTCTACCGCCCGTACAACGTGACCCTGGCTGATGTAGCCTCCGAGACGGCCACGGTACATTGGGACTACGGGTGGCCACCTCAGCCGGACACCGACCTGACCACTCACAACTGCACTGACCGTAGCGGACACACGGACACAAACGCCACCGACTTGGCTCTCACCGGGTTTGACGTCGTGACGAGAGTCGTGGGCGACTTGTACGACACAAGGACGATCACGACAGTTGACGCATCGCGCAGATCCTTGCCGCTCACGTACCTGAAACAGGAGACAACGTACGTGGTGTACGTGTACGCCATTCACGACGATATCGTCAGACTACGCAGCGGCGAGACGGAATTTTCGACGACAGCAGACTATTCAGAAGACGGTAAGAAATGTCAATAGTGAAGCATTTTTCTTGTATCTAAGATAGTGTCACCCACGTATTACTAAGGCTATAGACACTGTTGAAGGTATGACTTATTTCTTATATCTTGCCAAGGCCACACCAATTTGACTAGTTGGTTCTTGTATTTTTCAGAAAGATATCGACAGGGCTAAAAAAATAAATAAAAACAGACCTAGGCATCCTATGATAGCCCCAAATGTTACAAAAGTACCCATGAAGTCAACATATACCAGGCTGGTTCATAATTCAAGCATTTGAATTTCGAACTTTTAATGTGGGGTCGTGTAGCGTAGCGGCAGAGTACGCGACTCGGAACTTAGAGTCCCGGGTTCGAGTCCTGACATGCCACCGATCTTGTGCCCTTGGGAAAGGCACTTAACACGACTTCCTCACTTTACTCAGGTGTAAATGAGTATTGTCCTGTCATGTATTTGTCCCCTGTGTTGGTGGCGGCATTAATATAAGTTGAAAAAACTTGAGTGTGCCGTCACCACGTCTTGTGATTACATGTTGGAATAAACAAAAAACAAACAAAAAACACCAATTTGACTTGTTGGTTCTTAAATTTTTCAGAAAGGTTTGCATCGACAGGGCTAAAAAATACATAAAAACAGACCTAGGCATCCTATGATAGCCCCAAATGTTACAAAGTAGCCATGAAGTCAACATATACCAGGCTGGTTCATAATTCAAGCATTTGAATTTCGAACTTTTAATCAGGTAACTGCAATTTGTTAGACGAAAAGACTGTTACGAATAGGAAGACAATGACATGCCTCAACTGATGGGGCCAAAATACAAACATTTTGGAGTTGATTCAGAACCTGAATACTTTTTTGCAAATCATGTATTAGAAAAATGAAGCTGGCGACTCCGTAAACCAAGTGATTAAACTGCCTAATTCTGCATGTGCATCGAATTACAATCTACCTATCTAACAATTGATTAAAATCGATTTATTAATCACATTGTTCTAGTGAACATCACATTATTATAGAATGTAATTTTCAATTTAGATCCATTTGGATAGAACGCGTTCGTTTTCTTTACTTTTTCTATTGAAAGACCCTTTAGCCAACGCCTTATAGACTCCCAAGGTTCAGAATAAAAACATAAATCGGTAACATATAAGTACACTGTCAGCTTTATTTACACATATAACCTCCATTGTCATATATATCCGCCAGATCATAGATTCTTTATTGACACAACGAAAAAGTACATGGACTTTTGTATGGTCTTCTACAACTTGAGATCTAACAAAGTTAAATACATGACTGCGTGGATAACGTCATCTTACGTACAGAGTATATGTATGCGGTAACAATAGAGGTTAAACTATTCTCTAACATGTGGCCTCTAAGATCGAAACATTCTTTATATGTATGCACCAGTTTGAAACACTGTGTTTGAGAGATCTCTAGTGCAGCACCCCCAGGTATACACAGCACTATCATGAAAGTTCATCTGTGTTGGTAGTTACATGTTTCAAGTTTTAACTTTTGTTCCAACACAAAAACAATTATCTCACCTAGAGCTTTCGACCAGTCACTCTGGTCTTCCTCAGTAAACTGACACAGTGAAGCTAGTCACGTGGCTTCTTTGAAGTGTGACGTCAACACTGGGTCAACGGTATCTGGTAGTCGATGTCGACCCCCGTCGCGGTTCAATGTAGGGTGATGGGCCCTGATGAATATGGCTTCCTTCACCCCTCTCAAGAAATAGTCTTGTTCAGTGTCTAAAATCCTTACAGTGTCAAGTGAAACAAAATGTCCGGTGACTCTATGTGGATGTGTTGAGACACCTCTGAACTGGCAGAGCTAGGCCGTGTATATTCTTGAAACCTGGCTTTTAGAGACCTCTCTGTTTCCCCAATGTATAACATCCTTTGTATAACATTACCTTCAATGAATTTTTTTCTAGGCGATGCTGTAACGCCATTGGAAGAGGACGGTGAAGCATACGACTACGTGACAGAAGAAGAGAAGAAGTTAACTATAGAAGAGCTCGTTCTGATTGGTGTCGTAATACTTGTGTGGCTGTCCGTGATTGGTCTATTTCTCCGGCAATGGGATCACATCCGGGGCATGGCACCACGTGACACCATGCGGCCACGCCCCCCTACCCCCAAGCCGCCGACCAATGAGGAGTACCCTACCATCACCATCGTGCAGGACGAGAAAGATTCCCTTATAAGGACTACTCGGTTTTGATTCGATTTCTTTCAAATTTCATAGAAATATGATGGTCTCCCAAATATTTCTATTTTATGGAAATTCCTCAACAACATACCTGCATCAAAACCTTTACAACTGACGTATTCTAAAGTTGCTTTTTTCATTGAGGTCGTTGTTTATATTGTCATTGACAATGTATAAACTATATCAGTCAACGTTTTTTTATTTGTCCAAGTAAATATAAGTCTATTACTAGCAAAAACAGCTTTTTTCTGCAATTTCTCATTTTAGCTAAGTTCAATGATGTTCACCTTTACTTAACTTAAGGCAAGTATTCTCATCATTGGCAACATTTTTTGTGACGGAAATGACCGCGAACGGGGTCCAAATGGACCCCATTTGGTTTCTTTCAAATTTATATTCCTTTTTGCATTCTTTCAGTGTTCTTTGCCAAAAAAAAATTAGATGAGGCCTACAGGCATGAACATGGGGTTGACCTTTGACCTCATGATGTCAAAGGTCATGACCTCTAAAAACATGACGAAATGGACCCCGTTCGGGTGTTTCAGGGTTAATCTTGCAAATCTTTTTCAGTTGTGTTTGTCACGTAGTTAAAAATTCCTATAATTATGGAACGCAAAGGATTATGAAATTTCAAATTTTAAATTAGTACTTCTGTAAACTCCAACAGAAATGAAAAATGCCAGCATTTTGGCTTTTATACAAGAGTTTAGAGACTTCGTGACTTCGTGAGATATTTAGAGCTACTGTAAATGTTTTGCCTGATCTTGTCTCATTGATTTTGTATATAAGGTTATAATTAGCATAATCTATTTTGATTCGTCTTCTCTACCCAAATACCGTATATTGGAAGCGTTTTATCCTTTGGCAGAATTCCATTGTGTAATCTATTAATAAATTGTGCAAATGACAAGTATAAAATTTACAACATTTACCGAAGGATAATGGCATTTTGGTATTAGTTATGCAAATTATGTTATTATTTGAATAATCGACATAAGTTGCTGTTCCACCTGCTATATATAAATTACGTATGATATTTGTATTGAAGTTCTAATTGAAATGATTTGCCTCTGACCGTGTCTGTCTACCCTACCTGCGTACCCAAAATCATTGACGTCATTTCTTCTTTCTTTACTTATAACAAAAATGGCCATGCAGTTCCAAAATGAACTATTGTGAGCCTTCTTAATTGATTTTCGGCCCAAACAGTCAGAAAGACAAACAGACGGACAGTCCAAGAACAATTCCTTCATTTTAATGAAGGGAAAATGTTCAATGTATATTAAATATATGTTATATATAGGCGTTTGGACTATTTCTAGGTCCTACATTACTTTCTACCCTGCCAGTGTTAGAATTGTACAAGGGCCAAATAATTTGGGATTAATGTTTCGTGAGTGATTCTATTACTATTAATAAATGGTAGTTTTCAATATGTCATCTGTGTGTGAGCGTATGAATTTTATAAATAGATATTACGGTGTCATGTCTAGAAAGCTATACGTAGACATTATGGACACTGAACGCGGCTATTATTCGAGAGGAGTGAAGGAAGCCATCTACAACATGGCATACCAACCGGGACGGGGGGCGCTACCGACTTTCTGACGTCACCTGCATGTATTCTACTAATTGGAATGTAAAACTAGAGAAGTAACATTTGTCAAGCAAATGCATAATGTTTACCTTCGGACATGGTCTGCCCTGTTAATTTTTACTCAAACACATTCATATAGAATGTACTACATGTGTACTAGTATATGGTGACAGAGCAGACCATGAAACTGCAACATTATGTAACCCAACACTAGTCACCATGGTGACAGACGTCAACAAATCATGTCATCGGTCAGGTCATAGGTTACTCTTCGGAGAAGAAGAAGAGGAAGAAACCGAGCAAAAACAATATGTTTTCTTTCAGTAAACATAAAAATGACGTGATCATACTGAAGATAAGTTGGATTTTGAACTTGAAGTTTTATTAAGACAGGACATCGCCAGTCTCAGTTGCCTGAATTGCGCCCTCATTACAAAAGTGCAACATTTACTAGAGCACTAGAGCAAAACCTTTATAACTTTTTTAAAAAGTCATAACCTGGTACACAATAACATCATATTCACAAGTACAGAGAAAATACAATTAAGTTTTACACTATTCGATATATAAAAATGGTTGGTTGTAAATATAAATATTATTAATAATTTAAATGAGGCTTACAGGTCAGACAAGTGCAAAGAACGTGAACTCGTGCTTTCTTATACATGTTTTACATACAACACGTCAGTCTCATCACAAGAAATTCCTAGAATTACAGACAACAACAATACTAAAATATGTGACCCAAGAAAGGGTATCAAAACGCTGACTTGGACTGGTGTATAAGCGCTTGGTTGTAAACTGTACCGTACGTTTGTTGAAAAAAATTATGTCTATTTCATATGACAAAATCCGCTGTTCCTCTCTTGACCCATTCTCTTCTAAAGATTAAACTGCAAAGAGCAAACTGCAAAGGGGACCAAACCTACCCTACAGTTTCCAGACATACAAAGCTATCTGTTACCAAAAAAACTTCAAAACCGGGAAAAAATATACAAAATCCGAAAGTCTGTTGCAGTACGATGGAAAACCACCAAAATTGATCTACCTTTCATTGATCTAGACAAAATATAATTATCGTCTAGTCCTTCAATACACACACGCACACACACACGCACGCACGCACACCATTCACTTACATGATAAAAACTGAATTTTGAATTTCTATACAAAAATTGTGTCAACATTTCACTCATTTTAGTAAAATGAGATTGCTTCACAATAATAAGGGATTTAGTGGCAGTCTTGGAGGTAACGTAGCCCAGCAAGTGTTGAACTTTGGAAAACCAACCTTTCAATTTATTATTTTTAAAAATTTTCTGCCATGATTAATTATTAGATTCAGCCTACAGATCGTCATTCTCTGCAGACATGATATACTCGACGGTCTGTTTGATCTCGTCCCTGTCCTTGCCGCAGAGGAAGATGAGCGCGGCGCCGAAGTCGAAGAAGACGGCTCCCCAGCCGACCCCGTACCCCCAGCCGAACTCCCAGTTGCCGCGGTCCCACAGCCCGGCTCCGGACGGGGTCTGTGACAGGACCGCCGTCAGGTCCACGTGGAACAACACCGGGAACACCACCAGGGACACCAGGCCGGATACAACTGGACAGACAAGTTTCATACAAATATCAGTCCATGGAGTCGCGTGGCGTAGCGGCAGCGTGCTCGACTCGGAATCAAGAAGTCCCGGGTTCGAGTTCTGACATGCCACCGATCTTTCGCCTTTGGGAAAGGCACTTGCCACTTAACTTGACTTTCCTCACTTTGCTCAGGTGAAAATAAGTATTGTGTTGTCCCTTGTGTTGGTGGCGGCATTAATTTAAGTTGAAAAAACTTGAGTGTGCCGTCACCATGTCTTGTGCTTAGATGTTGGAATATAAAATTAAAAAAAAAAATCAGTATATGGGCCAGAGGAGACACCTGAGGTGGCGAATTCTCTTTTTTTTTTATATTCCGAAACATGCAATCACAAGACGTGGTGACGGCACACTTAAGTATTTTTTCAACTTATATGTTAATGCCGCCACCAACACAGGACAGTACAATACTCATTTTAATACACCTGAGCGAAGTGAGGAAAGTCGTGTAAAGTGCCTTTCCCAAGGGCACAAGATCTGTGGCATGTCAGGACTCGAACCCGGGGCCTTTTGGTTCTGAGTCGAGTACTCTGCCGCTACGCCACACGACCCCACTGCGTCTCATTAGGCCACAGTAAGTAAATCTTATGGATGACATTCTTCGCAGGCTCCAAATCTAATGCGATAAGACGAAAAAAAACCAAGGCGGGCCAATATATTATTCCACATTTTCAAATGTTGACATTATAAACCTTGTTAAACAAGAAATGGTACAAATATTGTACTACGTTTGCTGCCAACTATTACAACATGCATCTTTCAAAGATTGTTTTGATTTATTGTAACCATCACATATACACATGCACAGCCACTTAACAAATTAAAAGAATATTCATTGAAGTAAAGATGATTTTAAACACTATCACTGCGTCAAAGTAAAGAAAAAACATGAAATCAGAGCCTTGGCTTTTTAAAAGTAGGGTGTACACGACTGTAGAATATTTTTTTGATATGATAGCCGTTGCAGATTGTTAGTTTTGACCTTGCTATCTGACCTTGAACTTTGACCCCATATATAGTTTATCTAAGGCTTCTCTTTTTTAAAGGCATCCAATACAGTTTTAGGGCAGCAAAAATGGATTTTTATAGTCAACTTGATGGTCATTTTTGTACTAATTTGAATAAATACTATTCCTTAGTTTACCTGTTTATCTGTGAGGCGAATATGCGATATCACCGACACAAAACGGCTGCTTGTTTTTTATTTCCTAGTTCTAGCTATTTCTGGGTGGTACCCAAAAATAAAGAGACACCTCATGTAGCTTCTTTCTGGGCTGTTCAAGCGCCTCAAGTATAAAAATGATGAAGAAAACGTGTAACGAAACTGCAGTAATGTCATCATCAGACAGAATTCATTTTTTTGCCGCCCTGAAGATTCTTTTGATGCCTTTAGTCCATGTTGATTTGATTATATGGATGATATCCGAGCGTGCATGAATTTTCGGCCGTTTCCAAAAAAACGTTTTCAACCATGCTGTAAATCATACAAAACATTTGCAAAGTGAACAACCATAAATTGCAAAAAATATTTGAAAAGAATACCAAAGTCGTACAATGCCAAAATCAAACGAAAAAGTCAAATATGTAAAGAAATTAGATTTGAAGAGTAGATTATTCGCCATACCATACTCATTTGTTCAACTTTCATGACCACGTAGATTTCATAATGAAAGTAATAAAACTTTTTTAAAACTTTTTTATTCGCACGCTCGCATCAGTTTTAGGGTTCCCAGAGGATGTCATCCATATAATCAAATCAACATGGCCTTAGGCCACACCGACTTGATTTTATGGATGACAAACTTTAAAGACCTCCAAACTAGTGCGCGCGAGCGAATTAAAAAATCCGGCCCAAAATGAAAAGGCTACTAAACCATGTAGGATACAAAGCTGATATTGTTAATTTGCGTCAGTACTTTATTATTAATAATAGCGACGTATTCGACAAGCCGGCACATGCTGGCTTTTTGCGGAATTTATGAGTTTATGAGTTCTTGAGTCGTGGAACTTCGGTAGCCTGGGTGCCCGGCTCCGTATTGACGCTAACTACCATGGACTACCCAGGTCTAGAACCAGGCCAGAGCCTCGGTGGATGTGTTTTTTTTTTTAGAACAGGCGAAAATCAATGCGCGCGTGAATGTCATCCATAAAACCAAGTCGGTGTGACCTTAGATAAAAAAAGTGTTGGTGCAGAACCCGTACCTGCCAGCATGAGGACGATCCCCGCCAGTCTGTACTTCCGGCTGTGTTTCTCCACACAGAAGGCCAGAACACCCAGCACCAACCCTGCCAGGGACAGCGCCAAGTTCACCAACACGAACGCCGCTGACGCCTGCACCCAGGCTAACAAGTAAACGGAAAAAGGGAGTTAACAACACGAACGCCGATGACGCCTGGACCCAGGCTAACAAGGAAAAGGAAAAAGAGAGTTAACGAAGGCCGCTGACGCCTGCACCCAGGCTAACAAGTAAAAAAAAAGAAAGAGTTAACAACACGAACACCGCAGACGCCTAGACCCAGGCTAACAAGTAAAAGAAAAAAAAGTTAACAACACGAACACCACAGACGCCTGGAACGCCGCTGACGCCTGCACCCAGGCTAACAAGGAAAAGACAAAGAGTTAACAACATAAAGGCCTCTGACGCCTGGAACCAAGCTAACAATATTAAAAGGAAAAAAAGAGTCAACAACACGAAGGTCGCTGACGCCTGGACCCAGGCTAACAAGTAAAAAACAAAAAGAGAGTTAACAACCCTAATGCCGCAGACGCCTGGACCCAGGCTAACAAGTAAAAGAAAAAAAAAAGGTAACAACACTAATGCCACAGATGCCTGGACCCAGGCTAACAAGTAAAAGAAAAAAAGTTAACAACACTAATGCCGCAGACGCCTGGACCCAGGCTAACAAGTAAAAAAAAAAAAAAATTAACAACACGAAGACCGCAGACGCCTGGACCCAGGCCAACAAGTAAAAGAAAAAAAGTTAACAACACAAATGCCACAGATGCCTGGACCCAGGCTAACAAGTAAAAGAAAAAAAAGTTAACAACACTAATACCGCAGACGCCTGGACCCAGGCTAACGAGTAAAAGAAAAAAAAGTTAACAACACAAATGTCGCAGATGCCTGGACCCAGGCTAACAAGTAAAAGAAAAAAAGTTAACAACACGAATGCCGCAGACGCCTGGACCCAGGCTAACAAGCAAAAGAAAAAAAAAGTTAACAACACGAATGCCGCAGACGCCTGGACCCAGGCTAACAAGTAAAAGAAAAAGAGAGTCCACAACACGAAGGCCACAGATGCCTGGACCCAGGCTATGCAAAAAAATGAGAGTCAACAATATGAAGTTCTCAGACGCCTGGAACCAGGCTAACAGTAAAAAAAAGTAGTCAACAACTCCAAGACCGCAGACGCCTGAACCTAGAATAACAAGCAATAGAAAAAAATAAGAGTTAACAACACTAAGGTCACTAACGACGCCTGGACCCAGGCTACTAGTATTTGGTAGGTAAAATTCAACAGCGCGAAAACCACGGACCCTGGCTACCAGGTAAAAAATTGAAATAATAAAGTCAACAGCAACAAGGTCGCATGTGCCTGGACCCAGGCTATCATGCATGGCCAGCATAGTTAAGCTGTCGCCAGTACGAACGCCACAGACGCATGTACCGAGGCTATTGGAGGCTATACTGATGAGACAGAACAGAATAAAGTAAAGGTAACTATCAAATCAAAAATGCACATTCATAAATGTATGCTCACAGGATGTTTTTTTTTTTGCATACGCTACTTAGGAATGATTTATTCGAGGATTTTATGCTATTTTTATGTCTTTATAGGGCTTTTACGTCCCTGTGTTAAAAAAAAAGGTGACCTGAAATTTGGCATTAGCGTGACAAAAGCATATGTGGATGTCTTTTTATGATTTGTAGAATGTACCAGAAATGGTTTACTTTGTTTTCGTGCTACATTTTGAGTTCCTGGTCATGGTCTGAGTGACAATGAGCTCATATTTAGAATGTAAACCGCCGAACAGGTAATCCAAGTAAGGCCACAGCAAGTAAATTTTATGGATGGCATCCTCCGAAGACTCCAAATCTGATGCGAGCGTGCAACAAAAAAAAACAAGATTCCCACATTTCAAAATTTTGACTCAATCATTGTACAAATGGCTTCGATTCAGTGGGAACATCACATATACACAGCCAGCATCACATATCACTGCATCAAAGCAAGAAACAAAACTTAAATCAGAGTCTTTTTTTTTTTGTCTCCTCTCTTCATAGTTATCTGCCATCCACCTTCCGGCATGGCAACAGACATCTTCGCCCAATTTCGGCATGGTGGCCACTGTCAGAAGGCAACAAAATTTCTTGTTTTTTTTTCCCCAAAATCAGGCGAAAATTAATGGGCGCGATGATAAGAATTACTTGCGGTGGCCTAAAGCTGACTAAAGCTGAGTGAGACCGGACGGACTGTAAGATTCGAACCACTCACACCCGGAAGGACCGCTAGTCTTACCGATAAGTGCTGTAGGATCCCGTACTGTATGTGCTAGACGTATACTATATGTACAAATGTCTCTCCTCAAACACAAGACCTCCAGCTTTACCAGGGGTGCCAGCTAGGGTATACAGTGCAATTTTACAGAATACAGTGCAATCTTTTAGCATACAGTACAATTTCACTAGTATGCACTAGAATACAGTGCATACTGTATAGTACTCCGTATTGCACTGTATTCCGTAAAATTGCATTGTATTGTAATACAATTGCAATTGTATTCCGTAAAATTGCACTGTATCATGTAAAATTATACTGTATACTCTGGCACCCCTGTTTACGTTCTATCCGAGAGAACGTCGAAGTCCCTTAATCAAGCTAAGTACTTATTTTCACCCTAGTCGAGTGAGGAAATAGGTGTACGTATGTAAGGTGCCTTTCCCCAAACAACAGTGGGACCTTCCAGGGATTCGAACCTAGAACCTTCAGATTAGAAGTCAACAACCTTAACCGCAAGACCACCTTGTCACCTTTATGACAGAATACTGTAGTATGCAGTCTTACCTTGTCCCTGGGGAGTCCCACATGCCAGTATGTTATCTGTACCCGGTGGTGGCGGTGTACCGACATAGTCTCCACACAATGTCCACAGACCCTGGTAAAAGTTCAGCGTGTCTTCCGTCCGTACGTCCACTCTAGTGTACCCGAGTACCCAGACATCACTCACCATGCACACCACTATCAGTACAGAGGACAGAAAAGCAGCAACAATTCCTATAAACTTTAACGGACGCTGGAGAACCACTGTTGTAGTTGTGGTCACAACCTCCGCAGACTCCATCTTGGTTTGGAAGGTTTAAAAGGTTTAGTTGTTTACGTAGGCGAGAGCGGTCCGACGCTTTGGGTGGTTAAACAGTGAGCTTATCAAGGTTAATAATTTGTCAGTGTGTCAATGAAAGGCAGGCACGTATTGGTGGGTAAAGATGATGTCATAATCCATGCCAGCTACTACAATAGAAGAACTGTGTACAACCTGAAAGTACAGGAATGTCGTTCTATCATGAAAGTTCATCTGTGTTTGTATATTTACATGTTAAAAACTTTAGATACAACACGATAAAGAATATCACTGTTTTCGTGGTGTTTTTAAAGCTGCATTATGTAACATTGTCTTAAAAGACAAAACAAAAAGCCGAATTTCTGTCATTTTTTTTTTTTTGCAAAGTAAGTTAAACCAGGTGACATTCAACTTTATTTATTGCTCATCATTTTACAATTCAGGAATTGGAGGTACAAAAATGAGTCTTATGAGTGTGTTTAAAGCTGGAAACACAGCTGTCAGCCATGTTTGTTTATATTCTGGTAGTTTGTGGTGGCACCATAAACTGAGTGCGCCTCGTGTGGGCTGTTTTAGCACCAACTATAAATTTTTATTAGGAATATGCCACAAGCTTGAATAGTCCTATCATGTCATGCAACGTTAACTGATTTATAGAATATCCTCATAAATTATGCAAATTACATCCATATTTACATATTATGTCAAGCATCACTTCAGGTACCTACACACCAAAAATCATGACGATCTGTCAACCGTTTCTAATTATTTCCAGGTCCCATCAAGACCTACCCACCTACCGAATATCAAGTCAATCCATTAAGCCTTGTTTACATGCACACACACACACACACACACCACATACACACACGCACACACACACGCACACACACACGAACGTCACTGAAAACATAACCTTGTTGGCGAAGATAATGAAGAATGTGTGGATAGTATTGCCTATCATTTTCGGGCGACATCGCACAGAACAATGTAGTACCGCAGCGCCACCTTGTTGTCATGTCTGGTAGTGCACCGCACTATGGAAATCACTCAAAGTAGTTTCAAACCCCAAGTTTTAGGTCACATGGTTACTTACAACTTACATGTTTTCTCAACATTTTTCCCTCTAAGAACACAGGAGTCAAAATCCAGCTTCTACATCAAATTTATTGAACTCAATCATGGGCAATCATATTCTGATTCCCCTATTTCACAGTTTCTTCCATATCATTACAGGAATCTTGCCTTTTCAAAACTTTCTAATTCCTTACACTCATTTTAAGGTACAAAACTATGCACTATATAGAATGATAAAAATGTGTAAAAAGCTTCTAATAAATATCTTTTTCTATATACACATTAGACATAGATATAATAAAGCCACAAATATTTGGAACTTAACCACAAACTGGCCAATATCTACTATCACTTGGCTGGATTGTCTAAGGCGACCATAGGTCTATCTGACCTTAACCTCCAGACATACACAAGTTTAACTCTAGATCTGTATGGCATCTGCGCAGGGCTTACAAAATGTAGAATAGAGCTAAGGCCACACCGATTTAATTTTATGGATGACATCCTCTGAAGACCTCCAAACTAGTGCGCACGAATAAAAAAAAAAATTCCGGCCAAAAATAAAAATGCTCCTAAACCACAGGAATACAAAGCTGGTATTGTGAATTTGCGGTAGTAATTTGCAACATATACGACAAGCAGGCACATGCCGGCTTTTTGCGGAATTATGAACCGGCACTGTACCTATGTACTGAGTTCTTGAGTCGTGGAACTTCGGTAGTCTGGGTGCCCGGCTCCGTATTGTCGCTAACTACCATGGACTACCCAGGCCTAGAGCCAGGCCAGAGCCTCGGTGGACGTGATCTTTTTTTTTTTATAACAGGCAAAAATCAATGCGCACGCGGATGTCATCCATAAAATTAGTCGGTGTGGCCTAACTGGCCAACACGGAGCAACTGAGTACAAGCATATTGTAGCTACATGTACATCTGTAGAGAAATTATGGAGGAAGCATATTTTATGATATCCAAGCACATATTAAAGCATTTTTTTTCAGTTCAAGGTTTGGTAAACATGTGGAACTTACCTAGCAATGTTGTGGAATTTGCTTGAGATAAAATCGTAAGTTAATTTTGTAATATGTTATTTGAAATTTCTTTGACACACAACTGAATGAAACTGTTATACAGTTATCCTGAAATTCAGTTTGGCCAAACAAAGTACATGTCATGACTGTTATAAAACTCTTTGAGGATTTAGAAGCACAAAGGATGAAGATACACATCTGTACATGTAGCTTCTGCTAGACCACACTTGTACATACATGTATGCAAGTTCACTATGTATTATATCTACCATCTGTGGTAGCTGAAATACACAATGCGAATATTGAGTACAAGCATATGAAATTGTTGTACATTTACTTCTGCTGATCTGAAACTCAATGCAAAACCATTAGAGTTTTGCAACAAGAAGACAACTGAAGTACAGTTGTACTGTAAAATGACAAATTTTGGGATGGATACTTAATCTGTACAGCAATACAGAAATGTGTTTTTCTACAGTATCTGACATTGACTTTAGATATTACAATTCCATACACAATTGAAATGATCATCGTCAATACATGTATCAAGGCTTGGAAGTGTTGCATATTAGGAAAATGTCAGCATCATTGGTTTATGTGCTTTTGAACTGTCAGAAAAAGCACAACTTTACCGTCTGACATACATTTGTACACTTTCAAGGCTAATACAAGACAGGTGAATGAAAATTTTGGCTTGGAACAAAATCACACAAATTCTGCTGTAGAGAAATTCAAGGTGTCTAAAACCTCTTGTCTCATTCAAAACATGGAATGGATATGCTCAAATATATATGCTGGTATGTATGTAATACTATGACTTGTATTATAACATAAGTTTTGCAATGATACCTAAAAAAAAATGTGAACCAATTATTTTCCAGATAATGTAGGATTTGCGAGAATAATGACACACAAAAACTGTGACTTTCAAAAAACTAAATCTAACTTACAATTCAACTGCAAGCATACAATAATAAATACCAGGCCAATATGTAAAACCATTAAAAATCAACCCCCCAAAAAGTCACTGATTTTCCCTTATCTCATCAACACAACATCAAAAATTCTTGTTGTAGAGAATACAAGATATATCCTAATACAGCATTGCAAGCCAGTATCTCTACCAAACGGCCATGATTGTTACCACACAACAGCACACCAAGAAAGAATTTGTACATCTGTTTTTGGTCAAGGAGAACATATGCCACATCAAGGAAAGCTAATTTGTTCCCAGCCCACTGAAGCTGTGTTATGTCTGGTGGGTTGTGGTTCTTCTAACCAGGCTTTATACATGAAACAGGAAGGCAGGCTGTGGGGTCACGTAGTTCCCATGCACAGTGCACGTCATTGGCCTGCATGCCAGATACTGTTTGCTAACATCACACACAACTATTCATCGTTACTAGAAAAATTTCTATTTTCACACTTTTGTTACTTTAGAGAAAAAAGGGTCTTCTAATTCTCTTGGTCAGAACTAGGAGTTTGTCTCTCTTGGTCAGATTTTCATCATTACTGCTAGATCTGATAATCGAAAAATTGTCAAAAATAGTGATTTAAAAGCACTTCAGTTGCCATGACTTAGATCTAGACTCATCTGTTGTGGGAAGAACCATGTTATCTATATATAGAGAAATTACTGAGAAAGATTTGTAACTCCCCATGGTAAAGCATTACGTTTTATAGGATACTAAAAGGTAGGGTTCGCCGTTCGGAAGCATAAAGTAAACTAACTTCTCACCAGCATTACATCACACTGACATAATTTACTACTATCTTAGCGGTTTGAAAATCACGCCGTAAAATGCGGCCTGGAGCACGTCGGCAGAACGTACTGCACCTGCGCGAAACTCGTAATGTATTGTACATATAGCACTTCGGCAGAATGTCTCATATAAGGTTGTATTCGCTCATATAAGGCTAGAATTTCGACAGTAGTTTCCAAATGTTGTGTCAGAAAAGATATCCTCTGCAACAGTGAAAATTATGATGCTATGTTGACCAAAAATCCAACGGAAAACGCGAAAATCCAGGGTTCTGCGCAGGCGCAGTACGTTCTGCCGACATGCTGCGGCCTGGGAAGGTGTTCAACATTGTGATGTCACATGGTATATATGGGAGAGTCCACTCAGAGCCGTGAGAGGGGGGGGAGGGGGTTAGCTTTCCACGCCATCATAAGTTTGTTTATTAGGGCATGATTTTCAAAAGGCTACGATTGCTGTAAATTGAAAGACTAATGTAATACAGAGACCTTTACTTTGGGGTAAATTTAGCATAGTATAGTAGACTTTTAAACTTTACCTTTAAGTCGCCTTTAAAATTGAAGTCAGTAGCTTGAAATAATTGTCCTAAAAAGATATTATTTTCAGTTGTCCTATTTTTTTGTTGCTGATGAACATCAATAATTTTTATCAAATTTAGGAGCACTCCTACTCCTATCGTTAGACTTTTTAAGTATATCCACCATATCTCTTGGAGCAAAAGCATCTATAACAATCTGTACTGTACGCTTAGTGCGATCTGAAGGTATGGGTTTAAATTATAGGTCTGCAATTCACCACCAAAATTATTTTAAAAAAAGCCCATGTTTGAAGAAGTTAATATTTTTCAAGTTTTTAGAACTCCAAATAGTTTCAAGTCAGAGACAAACTCTTATAGCCCTCCCCTTATTTCATAATGATTACACTTTGTAGTATGAAAAAAATACATGACTAAGAATAAAAATTCAATGATTTGTAGCATATTTCAGAGCTTGAACAGCATTATTCTAATGAAGCAGGCCAGATGTTCTGTTGGAAGCATGTTTAGGCCACGCCAGTTTAATTTGTTGTTTCTCGGATCGCCCTGTCAATTTTTTTTCTGATTTGCAAAAAAAAAAAAAATTTTTAGGTTCTAAATCAACTGCAAAATACACAATAAAAGACATATTTTGGCTTGAACGGTTGAAGAGAGTCCTCCTCTTCCTAGTTTGTTAAAGTTTTTTAATGTAACAGTGCAGCTTTGTTTCATTAAAGTTCAAAATCTATTGTTTTAATTATAAACCAGCCTGCTATATTGACTTCATAACATCGTCACATTTCCAGCTATCATGGGGTGCCTTGGTCTGTTTTTTTTAATTATTTTGTCCTGTCGCTTCATATTTTTTTGTCGCTTCATATTTTTTATTTTAAAAAAATCTGAGAAGCAACAAATTAAATTGGTGTGGCCTAAGTCAGGTATTGACAGAAACAGTCCCCACATGGTGCATCTGTCTGTCAGACAAGTATTTAACCTGTCACCATTCCTGTGCTAAATGTACACATGGGATGGCAGGAGTTTCAGAGGAACAGGTTTTCTGCACGTAAAAAAGTCCTTAAAACATGTCAGGAAATATGCAGTACCACATTCCAAGAAAAATGTGACCCTGTTTTCAATCATTCTACAACCTGAAATTTTGTCTGAAAACTCATGATTTTAGGTCCATTGGGAATAGGTTAATTTGCATTTGTATCATGATACCTGAATATACATAGAAATGTTACTGTTAGAAGGTTTTGTATTGTAAAATGTAATAACTTTAGTTTTTTTTTTCTTTCAATAAGCTTGAATTTTATATTTTCTCAAGCAGGTTCAATCACGTCCAAATTTCAAAGTCTTTTGCAAGTGAAAACCTTTGAAAATCAACTAAAAATAGACAAAACAAGGCTATCAAATAAATTCTATATTTTCATGCACAGATTTTTTACGCACACAAAACCCCATCTCCTTGATAATGTAACCACAGAAAAGTGTTGCGGCTAAAAGCAACCTTTTCACAACTTTTATAAGCCTGGAGAAATGTAGAATCTTTTTAAACATTTCACCCTGCTTCATAATATGTACTAATCATGATTCTAACCATATTGATATGAAGTTGATTATTTTAACTAGTAACAAATTTTCTTTCATCAACAAACACAAATAACAATTACCACTAATTCAAGCAAAAGCTCATTGGAAACTGCTATGAAACAAGTTTAAGCTGTAATTTCCAACACAAGAAATGGACTCAAATTTTCGACTGTACAACTCCAGTCTTTGTCAAGAAATGGGCATTCCTCATTCCTTCTCTCATTCCTTGGCAAAGACTGGAGTTGTACAGTCGAAAATTTGGGTGAGTCCAGTTTCTTGTGTTGGAAATTACCAGCTCAAACTTGTTTCATAATGATTTCTACCAACACAGATGAACTTTCAAGATACTTTTGGAAACTGGTTCACTTTGTGTCTTGTAAGATTTCCTGGCCGAAAGAAAAGCGAAGACTGAAGTTAGCCTTCGTAGCTTGTCGTCTCGTAGATTTCGTTCGTGTCCTTTCCGAAGAGGAAGAGTAGCGCGGCCCCGATCATGAAGAACGAGGCGCCCCAACCGACGCCGTATCCCCAGCCGAGCTCCCAGTTGACGCGGTCCTTGAGCGCGGTGGGACTGGTGGACAGTTGTTCCGTCAGGATGGTGTGGAACATCGCGGGGAACACGATCAGGGCTATCAGCGCAAACAACACTGCAGAAAGGCAACAAAAATGCTTGGATTATTCAACCTCAACAAATATATTACCTCTCATATATAACATTGTCTAAGACTCACGGAACAAAGGAAAAGTGGTCAGTGGTTTTCTTATACAAAAAGCATTGTGAAAAGACAGAGAACAAGAAACCCGCAGCAAAATTTATACCCGGCCATTATAAGATAGCCCCATTGGCAAAAAGTGACCCCGCTGGTGCCATTTTTATATAGAACAAAGACTGACAGTGTCAAGTTGTTGAAATCAATGACAAACTGGCTGATTCCTTGCTATTTATCATAGAAAATACATTTTGAGAATGACATTGGCAATGAACAGGTGGCTGGCTTAATGCTTACAGTGGTAGAAGTTTTTTTCAGTGTTCTACAATTTTGCAGATTGAATGTCCAAATTTTGTTCTGCAACTTAGAAAGACTTTAAGTCCAGACCTAACCCAATGGTATATTCAAATTTCATGTTGTCAAACATCTTAGTTTTTACAAGTACATGTAATTTCAAAAAGACATGAAAAATTACTAGTATAATAGTCAGTAGTACACAAATTTTTTATTATTATTTTGCCCTGTCGCTTCATATTAAAAAAAAAAATCCAATAAGCAACAAGTCAGGTATTGACGGAAATTTTCCCCACAACACAAATTTAGCTCTTAAACAACATTATGCTGACACCATTGAACCCCTAGCCTCAGATTTTTGTAGTCTGCAAAATTGCAGGTTGCCTAATTTTTCTTTCTGCAATATTAAAAATGTCTCTGTAAAATGCAGACTGCAGGTGGGTATTTCCAACACGTAGGATTAAAAGTCACAGCAGGGCTCGGAATTCATTTTTGGGAATAGGTGCACTCAACCTAAAAATATAGGTGCACAAAAAATTTTTGGGTGCACCATATAAAACAAAACCTAATTATAGATCTTACTGCTCCTCTTCGATTCTGAGCTTGAATCTAAAATGGGAGCTAACTTCAAAATCTTAAACAAGTACTACAACAAAGATTTTATTATTTTTCTGACACTTGCAGATGCCAAGAAAATCCTGTATACTACTATACATTTACTATGTACAAAAATACCTACAAAAATATTTGGGTGCACCAGTGCACCCACAGAAAAAACTTGGGTGCACAGCTCCAATTTTGGGTGCACTAAGGTGTACATGCACCCAGTATTCCAAGCCCTGCACAGCACGTGTCTGAGGAGCTTACCTGCCACCAGCAGCACCAGACCTGCCCACTTGTAGAATCCACGGAACCTCTCCACAAAGAACGCCATCAGTCCCAGGACAAACCCTGCCAGCGCCAGTAACAGATTCAGGATCAGGAACGCAGCCGACGCCTGCACATACGCTGGACACAGGGAACAGGAGGATACATTACTTTCACAATTCATTCTTTTATTGCACTGAGGATCCATGAAATGGTGTCCATTGTTTTAAATCCAGATGATGTCTTGGTGTATTATAGTGTAGAACGACGTCTGTGTATCGGCTTAGGCCACACCAATTTAATTTGTTGTTTCTCAGATTTTCTTCAGAAAAATATGAAGCAACAGGGCGAAATAAACAAAAAAAAGGCCAAGGCACCCCGTGATAGCCGAAAATGTTACAATTTTTTATGAGCTATGAAGTCAACATACCAGGCTGGTTTATAATAAAACAATATATTTTGAACTTAAATTTAAAATGAAACTAGAAAGGCCAATATTTGCTTTGGAGCAAATACAGCGATGGGTTCACCACATTTTACGACATGGCAGGGAAAGAATGAGAAACACAAGGGAAAACAATGATTTACATTGATATAACTATAATATGAAGTAACATACAACTAAAACAACAGTTGGATAGCTATTCCCTACTTTATTGGTTTGGATTTTTAATTGCATAATGCAAACTGTTGATTTTAAAAATAAATAAAAAAACGTTCATGCCCCGCATTCCAATGCTGGAGCGGAAAAGCTTGAAATACCTACCAAAACACTTGAATAAAGACATACTGTCAGTATGGAAATGCTCTGTGCAGGTGTTAATCAAGTTAAATCCCAACAGCCAATCAGACAAGTAAATGCTCTGTGCAGGTGGAAATTGCTCTGTGCAGGTGTTAATCAAGTTAAATCCCAACAGCCAATCAGCAAGAAGTATAGAGGAAAGCTGCATGCCTATTGGTTGATGCCCTGCATTCCATTGTGATGACTCATGCCCAGACGTGGTAAACACGGCACACTAACACAGTAATACATTTGCTATAACACAGCCAAAAAAACTCAAATAAAACCATTCTAAAAGCCTGTATCACAAAAATTTAAAAAACGCCTAGGGGTATTTGCCCACTGTACCTCCATACCAAATTTCAGGACCTTAGGCCCTAAAATGAAGAAGCTGAATCCATTTAAAAAATGGCAGGAGGAGGAAGGAGGAGGAGGAGGAGGAGGAGAAGAAACATCAGAAAAAGCAATATGGGTTCACCACCACTTCGTGGTGTGGTGAACCCATAACAAAGTTGCATTGACTTTTTCACATTGAAAAACTTTAACAACTAGGAAGAAGAGGACTTTCTTCAACCGTTCAAGCCAAAATGTCTTTTATTGTGATTTTGAACCTAAAAGTTTTTTTTTGCAAATCAGAAAAAAATGGACAGGGCAAATCCGAGAAACAACAAATTAAATTGGTGTGGCCTTATCTAGGTTAAAACCTTATCCTCACAGTGGTGTTAATTGCTGGGATAAGGATGGGCGATAAAAACACATAATATCTCTAATTACATATATCAAATATACCAAAACAGTTAACAAAACCACAAAATATTACATGGACTCATGGAGGGGTGATGTCTATGACTTCTGGTTTCATCTGATTTGAGAAATATTGGAGATCACCTGTATCACTGTACCAGATAGAACAATTCATTACACACCATTTCATGGCAGAACGTTGGAACAATTCGAAAGTGTTTCTCTCTAACAGAAATTTCGGTTGGTGCTCCCAATAGCAGATTGTTTTGGAACTGCAGGAGCATTTGTTTTAAAAAATAAAAAATAACTCAAGAACTTCATGGATTGTCATCTAATTTGTATAAATAATGAGGAAATTATATAAAACTGTGCCCGCACACACACTAACACGTGCACAAAAAATAAAACACCTAAGGCCACACCTATTTAATTTGTTGGTTCTCGGATTTTTTCAGAAAATATGTGAAGCGACAGGGCGGGAAAAAATAAAAACAGGTCTAGGCATCCTATTACAGTCCCAAATGCTATGATAGGAGCTATGAAGTCAGGCTGGGTTAATATCTTAACAATCAATTTTGAACTTTTAATCAAACCACTGCATAGATAGATGGAAAAATTGTAACAACTATGAAGAAAAAGACTTTCCTCAATTGTTGGGGGCAAAATATTAGCATGTTTGAGTTATTTCAGAACCAGAATCTTTATTTTTTATTTTTTTGCAAATCAGAAAAAAATACCAACAGATTAAATTGGCCTGGCCTAAACATAAATTTTGTAACCTTCCTTGGAGGAATGGGAAGTATGTTTTCACCATGTGTGTGTAACTAACGTAATGCTAACTGTCAGTACCCAAGGGAGGAATTTCAGCAATGTGGTCATAAGGACCCTTGACTTTCAGTACTTAAATAGTTCTTTCTCCATAGTACTACTAGGCTTCTAGTACACATGTACAGGTACAGGTAGTACAAAAACCTGTACAACTGACTTGTTCACATTCTTTCCCTTCTTTAAATTTAGGGCTTGAAATAGTTTCTGCATACCTGCACTGGTGCAGACAGATAACATTGATGATTGAAATTTTGAGAATTACCTCACCACGCAAGTTAAAAATGCGTCAAAAACTGTTCAGAAACAATTGCCATAATCTATTTCCTTATAGTTATACACTTAGGAGGTAACAGTGAATGCAGCAATTAAAAATCCATATATATCCAATTTCTTGTTTGAAAAAGAAATATACTTTATCAGTGTTGTGCCAAATGAAGTCACTTCAGGTAGCACTACATTTGAATGTACATGTAGGTCTATAGTATTAACCAACAGGCTTTTAGCTAGGATTTTTTTTGTGGGTGTCCATTTTTTTTATTGTATGCTATGCACAGTGAAGACGTGCTGAGTGCAAGATTTTAGGGGGGCTTTTTTGAAATTCATTATGCTCTCAAACACTACTTTCTGCATTTTCAGGTGTAAATTTGAGTTTTTTCCTTCAGTAAACCATCATTTTTGTATTTATAGTAAGGCTGAAGGGAGGCATGTGTGCATGGCAAGGGTTGGGAGTGGAAAAAATAGGGCGTCTTTAGGGTGTCCTACAAAAAAGTAGGGCGTCCAATTTCTTATTATTTTCAGTACAGGGCGTCCAAAAGACAGGTCCCTGGACACCCCCTAGCTAAAAGCCTGTTAACCAACAACATGGTCATATTGAGAAATATTTTACAGTAACACCCAGTATTTCAAGCCCTCACACCACAGTACATGTAAGGCCAAGAATTCCTGTTTCAGTCCTGGAAAAATTAGGGTTGGTAGGTAATAATAAGGATTATTAAACCTTTTTAGTAGACTTTGGCGATCTCTAAGGATCCAACTTATAGATAAAATACAGTTTGACAAAGTAAAACTTGTATGAGGACTTTCATATTTTCAATGTCAATGTTGGAAAACCAATATTGTACAACGTTTCAAGTGTCAGATCATGTAGCTAGAAAATTATGGTTGATCGGCTCAATTTGTTCTGTGGGTGCACGCGTGCACCAAAATATTTTTGTAATTTTATGTATGTGAAGATGTTAGTCTAGTATACTGCATATTCTTAACATCCAAGTGCCAGAAAAATAACAAATTCCTTCTTGTACTATTTCTCTTTAAGCTACGGTCACAACCCGCCGTACGTGCTTCTGCGTGCTGTCTACGTGCAAAAACGTGGGCAAATGTAGGACATCCGTGCGTGGTGAGTACCACCTCCGTACGGAATCCTACGGATTTGGGAGCATGCAGACATGCCGTAGAACTTTAAGTGCATGTAAAAATTTTTCTACATGCGGTCTACGGATTCACCACCCGTGCGTGCGAGTACAAGCAACGTGTGTGCCCCGTACGTGCCGTGCGGAAGAATCATGTGTGAGTACGGCCTCCTTACGGTAAAGTTGCAATCGCACAGAGATCGTACGTTGTAAGCACGTGCAACTCACCACTTGCGCAACGTACGATGCACGCAACCGCTCACGGCCAGACGTAACGTGCAGACCACACTCTTACACCTTGCGCAACCGTGCGATTGACGTGCGAGTGACGTGCGTCGACGCCACTCCTTCCCTACGTTTTCAGAAAAACGTAGCAGGTCTCCCAAAAAACGTACGGACAAAAAACATGTACGGCGGGTTGTGACCGTAGCTTTAGGAATGAAACATGTGCAGAATAATATTTTGCATTCTACTTAATTTTATTTTATATGGTGCATGAAAAAAAATTTTTTGTGCACCCAATTTTTTAGTTTAGGTGCACCAGTGCATCTATTGCCAAAAAATGCATTTCGAGCCCTGTGTATACACACAGAAAACAAAGGATCTGATCATGAAGCGAGCTGAGGTTAAGAGGCGAGACCCTACATCTGACCACAACAAATCCGAATACTCCAAGTTAAACAAGCTAGTTAAGAAAAGTTGTAAGGTGGATGATAATAATTGGGCCCTTAGGGTGGCATCAGACCTTGAAAGTGCAGCGAAACAAGGAAATCAACGAGAAGTTTGGCAGAAGATCAGAATCCTGTCAAACAAGCGGAGCAAGAAGTCTACAGCAGTAAGGGATAAGTCTGGGAAGTTGATCTCCGACCCTGACGCCCAACGGGAACGGTGGGCTGAACACTTCTCCGAGCTTCTGAACCCGCAGCAGGATGAGTCTGACCTCTCCATGTTGGACAGCATACCAGGGGTCCCCAGTTTTGACTACCTCAATGAGGATGATGGCCCACCAACGGCAGAGGAAATACAGAATGCGCTTAAAAAGCTGAAAAACCACAAATCTCCTGGAGTGGATGAAATAGCCAACGAGCAGCTGAAATACGGGGCACAGGGAATAACCAAAGCCTTGGAAGTTCTCTTTGCCAAAGTCTGGCATGGTGAAGTTATCCCTGAGGACTGGTCTAAAGGCCTCATTGTTGTGCTGCCAAAAAAAGGGGATACCACACACTGTGGCAATAACAGAGGTATTACACTTAGATCTACAGCCTCTAAGCTTTTCCAGATCATTGTTTTAGGACGCATGAACAGGGGTTTAGAAGAGCTCTTGCGGGACAATCAATGTGGTTTTCGGAAAAACAGATCATGTGTTGATCAGATATACT